CTTCCCTGTTTAGATATTACTGTTTAATATTTTATGTCTATCTTTTTAACCCCATAATGTAGATACTTTATGTATATGTAGACACTATGTAAAAATATAAATATATTTTTATGTATGCATGTGTCTGTGCATGTGTCTATGCATATGTGTGTACATACATGCTTGTACCTGAAAACTCAGAAACAGAGAAAGAGAGAGAGAGATGGCGAAAAAGAGAGAATATTTGGATTTACCTGCATTTATGCTATTTAACGTATTCACCATTAGTTCTCATATTTCAGACCATCTTTCTGGGATATGTTTACTTCTTAAAATATGTCCTTTTGGTGATCTTTTAGAGTGAAAATCTTGGTGTTAATCTCTCTCAGTTGCTTGCTTGTTTTCTCTGCAAATGCTTTAATATCCCTCTTATTCTTGAGTGGTAATTTTGCTCAATGTATTATTCTAGTTTGACATTTTCACAGGGTTTAAAAATATTATGCCACTGCCTTGTGACTTCCACTGTAGCCGATGAGAAGTCTGGTGCTGTCCTGTCATTCCTTCAATCATCTTCTCTCTGGATAATTTTGAGATTTCATTTCCTTGGTTAATGATGTTGCACAGATTCACTCTGATATTTCCAGTTGTGGAAATCTTGGTACCTTTCTTGCTTAGGGTATATTGGATCTGTGGAATCATGTTTTTCTTCAGTTCTCGATAATTTGAAGCCATTATCTCTTAAATACTGCCTTTTATTCAGTCTTTCCATTTTTTCTTTTAAATTCTAGGATTCCAGGATGACTTCCTTGGATCTAGCCTCCATATCATTTAATCCTTCTTTTGTAATTTCTATCATCTCCACCTCTCTTTAGCAGCATCCAGGATAAACTCATCAGATACAGCTTCTAGTTCACCAATTCTCTCTTTAACCACGTCTAATCACTTGCCCATTCATTTACTTTTTCATTTCAAAGTTATATTTTTGATCTAGAAGCACCAGTTAAAATTTTTTTCCTTTTATTCCTGGTAATTTTTTCTGTGCTTATGCCTGTGATTGTAGACTTCACTTGTACATAAAACAAAATGCTACATGAGTACCTCTTCTCCGATGCATCTGA